AGATTATCTGGCGTGGTCCTAGCCAGAATCCAACTATTAGTAGGGAAACTTAGGGAAATTTCTACACGGGAAGATGTCTCGAAATGCACCGCAGACACACATAATGAAATGCTCTTTTCTGTCACTGACTTCCTGCATCTGACGTCCCAAAATTTTTCCGTGTATATATGGGACCGAGGCAGGAAGCTGAGTAACCTAATTGCGACAGTTCGGGGCTGGCTACCAATTAAGATGTTCGGTGTCACGGCTGTCATCCGATTAAAATCATTGGAAAGTATAAGAATGGAGTTCCGTACTCTGTTTTTCCGGATCAAAGGTTAGTGCCTAAAATGTTTCTTTCTCGTTAACCACCACCGGAGTACAGTGTAACCGATAAACAAGGCTGAGTCGTAGGACCGCATGGCAAGCCGATAGGACGCCGCTATTTTCGGTCGACCAACGTACAGCACCGGCGTGTGGAAGTTCTCACTTTCTCAATTTATATAGTGTGTTTAAAATAAAACACATACTTTGAGAGAAAGTGATTTTCAGTATTGTTTAGGTGTTAATAGAGCTTGGGTCTGTCTCTTTCCTTTTTAAACGGCACTCACGCCCTATTGTTTAAAATTGCAGGCAACTTCGTAGAAATAAAATATTAAGCTCAGTTCAGGGGTAACTTGGAAAAGTTCTTGTTTTGTTTCATCATCTGGGTAGTTTACCTACCTAGCGTCAGGGATGTTTCTTAAAACGGGTCATCGATCGATTTCTACTACAGCTTTTTACTCGTTCAAGATGTAACATATTGTTTTACATAACGTATACTTACCTTCAACTGTATTCTCTCCTGCAACAATATTTAAATATTGTTAGGGTCTATTTAACAAGGTGACTACGAAAGAAGATGAGTATTATGATTTATAAATGGAGATTAAAAGGATTTAAGTATGTGACATTAAAAAAAATTCTATACTATTGACAATAATAAATATTGGAACTTGCTTTCTATGTTAGATCCAGAACGAACGTCTATAACAAGATAAATTAGATTGTTTATTGTTTTTTATTGTACTGTAATGTTTGTAAAATATCTACTAAAAATCTAGATATATGGAACAAAGATTAAATAATGCTATATAAAAGAATGTTATAAATTGAATATACCGTCATGAATCGCGGCCATGGTATCTGTAATAGAATAAAAATTGTAATAGTGTCACTTATCTGTTATGAATTTTATTTAAAATATTTCTGCTGTGATATTTTTCTTCTACAGCTGTTTACTTGTTCGAGATGTAACATATTGTTTTACAAAGCGTATCACCGTCAATACTGTCCTCTTGAATCTTTCGATTTCACGTTCAGTGACTCAACTTAAGTGTGTACTGTTGATCTATTACCACATGATTTAGGGAGCTTTCGACGTTCGCGCTAGGGCCGCTGTAAGTATAAGTCACAGCGCTTATCTAGAAAATACCCTAAATCATATGGTAATAGACCAACAGTACACAGTCTGCTGTCAAAATTTATTTATTTACATTTTAACAAAATTTTATATTTCCTGTTCGTTATCAGCATTTTTACACATTAAATCAATGAGTCTTTTTGATTAAAATGCAAAATCGAGTCAGTGAACGTGAAATCGAAAGATTCAAGAGGATAGTATTGACGGTGAAAAAGCAGGATTGGCAGAATGCCCTTAATACGGTTTTCACGCGACAACGTATTGGCAGAAACTCACCACCAATACTATTCGCTCTCTTCCAATACTTTTTTTTACTAGGTATATAAAAGAATGTTATAAATTGTATATACTGTCATGAATCGCGGCCATCATATCTGTAATAGAATAAAAACTGTAATACTCTCTCTTATCTGTTGTGAATTTCATTAAAAATATTTTTGCTGTAATAAATCTCTACCACAGCTGTTTACTCGTTCGAGATGTAACATATTGTTTTACATAGCGTAGTCTTACCTTCAACGTTATTCTCTTCTGCAACAATATTTAAATATTGTTAAGGTCTATTTAACAAGGTGACTAAGAAAGAAGATAAGTATTATGTATATAAATGGAGATTAGAAGGATTTTAATATATGACATTTTTAAAAAATTCTATACTATTGACAATAATAAATATTGGAACTTGCTTTGTATGTCAAATCCAGAAGGAATGTCTATAACAAGATAAATTAGATTATTTACTGTTTTCTTTTATACTGGAATGTTTGTAAAATATCTACTAAAAATCTAGATGTATGGAACAAAGATTAAATAATGCTATATAAAAGAATGTTATAAATTGAATATACCGTCATGAATCGCGGCCATGATATCTGTAATAGAATAAAAATTGTAATAGTGTCACTTATCTGTTACCCAGTGGGCACAGGGACGTCTAAAAGACGTCTTAGAGACGTCCCTATTTACTCGCGGACAATTCGGGGACAATGATGGTAATGTCTCTGAGTCATCAAAAAGTCAACTAAAAGACGTTCACATACCTTCAACTGTATTCTTTCCTGCAACAATATTTAAATATTGTTCAGGTCTATTTAACAAGGTGACTAAGAAAGAAGATAAGTATTATGTATATAAATGGAGATTAGAAGGATTTTAATATATGACATTTTTAAAAAATTCTATACTATTGACAATAATAAATATTTGAACTTGCTTTGTATGTTAGATCCAGAAGGAACGTCTATAACAAGATAAATTAGATTATTTATATTTTTTTATTAAAAATCTACTAAAAATCAATATGTATGGAACAAAGATTAAATAATGCTATAGAAAAAAATGCTATTAATTACTATATATACCATCATTAATATCGTCCATGATATCTGTAATAGAATAAAGGATTTTGAAAAATGGCCTTTTTTGGGGGAAAATCCTTCGTGAAAATTAAATTTCTGATTCTCTGCCTTATTCGCTGTTCCACTTTTATGTGAGAATTTCAACGACATCAGTATGCGACTTTTTTATCAAAACTTTTTGGATTTTTTTATTTTTTCTCTTTTTAAATATAATTTTTATATACAATATATTTTAGCTAAATGTGAAATTACCTTCATTTGATTTACAGTGGAACTTTTTTAGAAATTTAATTATTGTGTTGTTGAAAATATAATATGTCACTTTATGATTTTGGTTTACATTATCATTTACAAATTCTGAAAAAACAAATTTTGAATGTTATATATAATTTTGTAAAATTCTCTAGAACGCTAAATAGAAAATAGTCAAAAAATATAGTTTTCTCCATCATTGAGTGCACATCATTTTTAGGGTTTCGTGCGTCCAAGGTCTTAAACCTTCATAGTGATACTTAGGTGTCTGTCCAATAGTTTTTACTAGATTTTGAGTCCGAAGCTAGTAAGCTTCGGACTCAAAATCTAGTGTTGTCTACCGCATAATATTATATTAAATAGAATTGAAAAGGTAACAACGAAGTCAACTGTTTCTAGTTGAGTTTAAATTGTCTTTTATGAAAATGTCGGAGGAATGGTCTGCACAAAAGGATACGAAAGTTGGTCGTGGGCACCGCTACACTTAGAGTGTTTTTAACAGATGCTCGGATTAATTGAATGTTTCAATTTAATCAGTTAAGTATAATGATTAAATTAATAATTAAATTAATTAAAAAATAATAATAATAATAATAATAATAATAATAATAATAATTAAATTAATTAAAATTTCAATTAAATGATTCGGATTCAGCGACCCAAAAACATTAAGTCTACATAGTGAGACCCCCAGATCAGAACTTTTTTTTTTGTGTGGCTGTGTTATCATGTCATCCTTTTAAAATGGACGTCTTAATTTTTCTGTCGCGTCGGTCTCTTGTCGCGTTTATATAATCGCATTGTGAGTTTATTGTGTATAAATAGTGTTATAATTGTTTATTATTTATTATCGTTATTGTCTATTAGTGTTTATGTAAATTCATTTTCATGAAATATGTGTAGAGTATATAAGGAATATTATATGCTCAAATATTGTAGTTGCGTGTATAGTGTAGTGGATAGCGTTAGTGTTTAGTATGCGTTAGGTTTAGGGTTTGTGTCTCCCCCGTCGGCTAATAATTTATTTCGTAAATATGCGGTTATTCAATAAGTGGTGTGTATTAATTAACAAAAATGTGTTTAAAATATCTCAAGTGACATGGAATTTAATTAATTGAGTGATTCTAATTTTTTTGATTCCCATTTCCATTACTATGGATCACCCAACAATAGATCTTTTGCTGCCCCAACAATATACAGCCAGCCATAGAATATGGATGCAGCAACCTTAACTATGGATATCCCGTATTTTTCAATATAATATGGCTATGATATCCATGTATCTGGATGTGTCTACTATTCCTTTCTCTCCGTGTGACGCTCAAAACGAATAATTATGTATGAAATTTTAAGTTCTAAGCAATGTACAGACAACAGTCTGATTTTATATATATAGATTGTTCAGGTCTATTAAAAAATGTGTCGAAGAGATAAAATATTATGTTTACTAAAACTAAATAGACTGATGAGAAAGATTTAAATATGCTACATATTTTAAAAACTTCTTATACTACTGACAGTAATACATATTTAGACTTGCTTTGTATGTTGGATCTTGAAGGAACGTCTGTAACAAAATTATTTATTGTTCTTTATTTTACTAGATAGTTTAAAAAATGTAAATTAATAATTTAGATGTACGTAAAAGAGACTAAATAATGTCATAGTAATGAAAGTTATTGATTGAATTTACTGTCATTAATATCGTCCATGATGTCTGTAATAGAATAAAATCTGTAACACTGACACTATTCTGTTATGTAACATAAGGTACACTTACCTCCTGCTCTATTCTCTCCTGCAATAATATTCAAATATTCATAAGGCCTGTTTAACAATGTGATCAAGAAAGAAGATAATTATTGTGTTCTATAAAGGGAGTGATGAAAAACATTTTAATATTTTAAAAAATTGGTATACTAGTGATAATAATAAACATTGGGACATGCCTTGTATGTTAGATCCGGAAGGAATGTCTGTAAAAAGAAAATTTATTGTTTTTTATTATACTAGATGGTTTTAAAAATGTCTCTTAATAATCTAGATGTGTGTAAAAGAGATTAAATAATGATATAGAAAGGAATGTTTTAAATTGCATTTACCGTCAGTACTCTCGTCCATGACATCTGTAATAGAATAAAAACTGTAACACTGTCACCATTCTTTTATGTAAGTATTATAAGGTATACTACCTTCTGCTCTATTCTCTCCTACAACAATATTCAAATATTTATTAGATCTATTAAAGAATATGACCATGAAAGATGATAATTATTGTGTTTTATATGGGAGTGATGAAAAGAATTTGAACATTTCACAAAATCAGTATATTAGTGACAATAATAAATATTGAGACATGCCTTGTATGTTAGATCCGGAAGAAACGTCTGTAACAAGATCATTTATTGCTTTTTATTCTACTATATGGTTTAAAAAATGTCTATTAATAATCTAGAAAAATTTTCCACCCACCCCCCACTTAAATGATCTTACGTAATTTATCGACGGTTCTTAGGTATAATTAACAACGAAACCAAGCGAATAAAGATAAGTCGTATGTTTAACGAATGTAAGGATTAAAAAGATTTAATAGTGTGAAATATTTTTAAAAAATTTTATAATACTGGAGTAACATATAATATTGCTCGATACATTGGGACTTGCTTTGTATATTAATTGTGTATACCTGGATAAAGCACGTCCGTGAGATCTGTAATGATATAAAAACATAACTTTTAAAAGTCTTATTGTATAAAAAGTATTAATAAAGTTTGTTAAATGTCTATCAACAGCCTATATGCATGGAAAATAATTTAATAATGTTATATAAAAGCATATTAATTATGAATACCGTCATTAATCTCGTCCATGACATCTGTAATAAAATAAAAACAGAACTTTTAAAATTCATATTGTATAAAAAGTGTTAATATAGTAAGTAATACTATATTGTATTAGCTATTAGGAGAGACAGTTTCCTGGGAATCTGTTTATAAAGAATCAAAATTCAAATGGGGTTTCCTTAAACGCTTTTTTTAAACAATAAACATTTTAGACGTTTCCCAGCTTGAAATTCCCGTACAGGATCCCGACCGGATCCAGTACGGGCTTTTAGGACAAATTCCTGTGCAGGTTCCTTATATATAAAATGTTCCTGTTAACAGTGCGACCAAAAAATGGATAATTATTATGTTTTATAAATGGAGTTATGAGCGAGATTGAAAAATATAACATATTTTAAAAACTTGTTATTCTATAGTGACAGTAAGAAATATTGGACTTGCTTTGTACGTAAGATCTTAAAGGTGAGCCTGTAACAAAATAATTTATTATTCTCTATTAGGCTAAAATGTTTAAAAGGTGTTTATTAAAAATCTACATATTTGTACACTACCGGTCAAAATTGAGAGACCACCCATTTTCAAACGATTGAAAATCATTGTAAAACATAAAATGTATGGACACCTTAAAGACATCTAATGGCCAAGACATAGAACATGAATAGGACGTCTTTAAGACGTCTTAAAGTCGTCTTAAAGTCGTCTTTTTGTACAAGTCCAAAAGACGTCCGCAAAAAGACATCCTTAGGACGTCTTTTGAACAAGTGTGCCTACTGGGTTGAAACATAGCAAGTTTGAAGGCTTTGTAAAATTGTTTAATATTATTATTTTAAAAAGTCAAAAATATGGATTTTTTATTTTCTTCTTTCAGTCTGCATTTTCTATGGAAAACATTACACGTTAATGCCTATAAGCAATTCTTATAGTGTAATAAATGACCTTTAAAATAAGCCGAAGATCATTAAAAAGCGTTAATTATTTTAGAAGTTATTCAAATCTTTGTAAAACATTGAAAATGACGATTTTTTAAAAATATCTAAATGAATCATTGGCCAAACGACTTCTGAAATATCTTGTTTTTCAAAATTTTATCATCCATCAAAAAATGAACAGAAAAAAATTTTAGTTTTAATAAATCTTATGTTTTAAAACGTTTTTCATTCGCTTGAAAATGAGTGGTCTCTTAATTTTGACCAGTAGAGTAAAAGTGAATTAATAACATTATGGAAAAACAATTTTATTAAATGAATATACCGTCATAAATCACGTCCTTGATATCTGTAATAGAATAAAAACTGTAACACTGTCACTATTATGTTATGTAACACAATTATGAAGAATGTGTTTACTGGAATATAATTTTACTACTGCTGTTTACTCCTTCGGGATGTAACATTTGATTACATAATGTATATATACATACCTTCTGTTGTATTCTCTCCTTTAACAAAATTCAAAAATTGTGTATGTCTTATTTACAACTTAACCAAGAATGAGGATAAATATTATGTTTTACGAATGGAATGATCAGAATAGAATAAATTCGATTATTTGCAACACTTCCTCTGTGCTACAGGTTCTCAGCTCTTATATATACTTCCAGAATCATCTCAACGGTGAGAGAAGGCATTTTCGCCATCTGGCGGTGAAAGTATAGGAGCTACAGTAATCAATTACTAAGGAAACTATATGGGATCTCACGTAGGATTCCATATGGTTTCCTACGTTGGTCTTTACATGGGATTTTACTTGGGAATTTACGTAGAAATTAAATTATGTGAATTCCCAAGTAAAATCCCATGTAATGGGATTTTACTTTTAATTTTTTTTAATTTTAATCTAATTTAAAATTCTATGTGAAATTTCCCATGCCTAATCCTAACTAAAATCGTTATTCAATTTCCTGTATGATTTGACATGGGAATTCACATGGTTTCCTTAATGGAAGCGGGCTTTAACATGCTTTTTGACACATGATCCCATGTGGGGATTTTTAATAGGGATAGTAGTAATTTTTGAAGTTATTATCATACTACTGGACTAATTTTTTGATTTTCCATACTCTGCTTATATTAGTTTTTTGAAAAAATAACAATTGGTTATAAGAAACATAACATGTTTTTTATATAGTTTACTATATATGTTATAACATGATAAACAAGAAATATGATAGGCGCGCAATTTATTGTTTTTTATTATACTGGATTGTTTGTAAAATGTCTATCAAGAATCTATATGTATAATGTAAATAAGATGCAATAATGTTATTGAAAAGTATTACTTATCAATAAAAAATTTGAGGAACAATTAAAAAATGTCTTATAGGAACAAAGTAGCGTATATTTTACAGTAAGGCGAAATATAAAAAATTATACACTTGAAAAAACTGTAGCTTACCTGTCACACTTTGAATATTATTTCCTTCCTCCGACGAACTTGAGTCAACTGAAATGACTTCATTGATTTGATTTCTTTCGCGAATATCATTGAATAACTGATTTACTGCGTCTTTAAATGTTGACTCGTTAATTCTTATATTGAATTGTAAGTTTACATAATCTGAAATTGAATCATTTATCTTAAACTCAACATATTAAAAGAATGATAATAAATCATGATTTTTTATTGTGAAAAACTTACCGATGACAAACTTTCGAACTTTCTCAGGTATAAGACTATACAATTCATCAGAATTCTTTTCACGCTGGATTATCATATTTTTTAACTTATTTTCACCTAAGATTATTCTTATTAATTCTTTTGTCATTATTTTTGGATCATTATTATGCAGATTTGTTATGTAAATTAAATTTTCAAAACTGGTATCAATATCCCATTTCTGTAACAGTTTAACCCAAAAATCGAAGAAGATTAAATAATTATACAAAATTATATATACACAGCAATAAAAGATATCTCATTTTGAGACGGTTCGTTCGGTAAGAACTCTTTTTTAGTGACGAGTAAGATATTAGTTTTTACTCTGATAGCATCCATATATTTAGGATGTAGAGGATATTCTAACTTCTTTATAGCGTGTTCTGAAATATCTGTTTTTGTCTGTGATCAGTGTATTTTTTCATAATATCAATTTTAGAGAAGTAGGGTAAACATATGTTTCTTCAACTATAATATATGAGAGTAATGAACGCAAATCACAAAGACATAAGTCATCCATACAATTAATAATTCCCTTTTATGCAGTTAGAGTCACTGATTCTAAATCAACATCCCTATGCAAATCAATTCCTCACTTAGATTTTAAAGGGTTAATATAAATTTGTATTTGATTGCCAGTGGCATGGAAAATAATTATGTTAATTGTGTATTAATCAATTTCACTTATAAGAATTAAAAATATGCGAACCTTGGGAGAAGTTGTAGTTCCTTCGTCACCTAACTGCCGAAAACCTAAAACAAATTGATATTCAGAGTTTTAAGTTGAGCAAAAAGTGAATAGGTTATATCCTGTTCTTCGAATATTTTTTCATATCACTCAGTATAAAAATAAATTAATTATTAAATTATATAATTTATCGTTAAAAAATATCATTAAAATAATAAATATTAATTACGTATTTAATTAATTCTTTATTTTTAAAAATAAAGTTTTAGCTTATACAATAGCAGAAAAAAAGTGTTCACGACATCTATTAAATTTTTTTCAAATTAATATTTTTATTAATATTTATTAATATTTTTTATTGTGATTAGAAACATGAATTATTTTCATTACTCCACATGCTGTGAAATGACAAAACAGACAGTCCTAGCTGGCTCCGCCGCAGATATAGAAATTCGGTTCGTTAGAGTCCTCCACGCGAGAAAAGTTAAACTTTGTTAGAATTTTTTCTATTAATTTTTATAATTTATTACTTTTTAGAAAACTTTTTTGGACTATCTTGAACAACTTCTTCACTAGAAGATTTTATTTGCTCAAAATTTCCTTGTTAAATGAAGCGTTCAAAGATTATGGTGTTGAAATTTTACCGTTGGCTAATAAATATTTTTAGTTTGTTTATAAACAAACATATACACTACCGTCGGAAATTGTCGGTTTGATCGACCGAAGAGGAGAAAAAAAGACAGCTCCACTAAAATCGTAATAACTTTGACAAAAATGAAGATAGAGACTTGAATTTTTCAGATTTGGAAAGCTTATAAAATTTTGAATAAGATCAGATTTTGTTAATTTTTTTAAGGCCAGGTTACTCTAAAAAACGTGATTTTTTTCAATACATTTTATTTATAATACAAAAAATGTTAAGTAATAAATTTTTTTACATATGATAGTACATACATGACATTACTTTAAAAAATTTTTTTTTTTTTCAAAATAACGGTCTTGAAAATGGCTGCTGAAAGTTATCTACATTCGTAGATGGATGACAATCTCATTTCAAAACTATTGCACTTATCGATATGAACCAAACGGCATTTTACTCTTTAGATGTCTGGCTATGGCCTCAAGCAGAACCAGAAATATTCATTATTATTTTAAAAAGTTATAAACAATTAAAAGTTTTAAAAAAAGGTTGAAAAAATTCAAAAGTCAGCCATTTTGTTCTTTCTCATTGAAAATTTTTAATTCTGCTTGAGGCCATAGCCAGACATCTAAAGAGTAAAATGCCGTTTGGTTCATATCGATAAGTGCAATAGTTTTGAAATGAGAGTGTCATCCATCTACGAATGTAGATAACTTTCAGCAGCCATTTTCAAGACCGCCATTTTAAAAAAAAAAATTTTTTTAAGTAATTTCATGTATGTACTATCATATGTAAAAAAATTTTTTACTTAACATTTTTTGTATTATAAATAAAATGTATTGAAAAAAATCACGTTTTTCAGAGTAACCTGGCCTTAAAGGTTTAAAACTTGTTATATTATTTAATTATTTGTAGTTCAAAAATCTCCAAATTTTCAATTATCGTTCGATATGTTTAGTCCGTTGCCTGATTTACAAAAATAATAGGAAAAATTTGGAACTTATACCATTTTGTTCGAAAAATTGTCACCTTTAATTTGAGCCTAAGAAAATTAAAAAATATTAATCCGTCTCCGAGATATGATTAAAAATGTCCGCGTATGTTTTTCTCGTCATTGAACCATCGATCGCCGCCGATCCCGTCTGTGGCTTTCTCTCCTTCGTCTTCCCAGGGCGCAATAGGCGTCTCCCAAAGTGGGTGGTTACTTGTAGCCCCTTATACATTCTTTTTTCCCTAAATTATAGTTATGGTCTGAATTTTTTTCAACTATTAGTCAGACATTAATTAATATTATTATTATTAAAACAAATGTATAAACAAATTATTGTTGTTAATAATTGTTTTTCTATATTTTAGAATTAACCTTGAATAGTGCAGTTTTTTCGTCATTTTCACAATTTACAATGCTAAAAATATTTTAAAAATAAAATTTATTTTATTTCAAAATTTTTTGTAAAAAAAATAAAGTTAATATTAAAATCTATAAAAAGCACTGGAAAAAAATACACTTAATTCAAGTGGAAAAATGAGACTAAACGATTTTGCTTAATTAAAGTCAGTTTATAAGTTAATTACCAAAATATATAAAAAATATCTACATTTCAGATTTGAAAATATTATTGGTTTAAATAAATATGTTTCATAAATAAATTTATATTTTAATTAAATATTAATTTAACCCTTAAACCGCACCCTGGGTGTGCGACACCCATATTCTAGCTTTTTACTCTAATATTTCGGTTAAATTCGTAAAAATTTAACATGTGTCGTTATTGGACGATACATTTAGTACTTAAGTTTATGTATCGTTAGGGACATTAGTCTCCCAAGTGTCTTTGTGTATTTGATAACTTTATGAAGTTGTCGGCGAAAAATTTCTGCTTGTTTGACACCCAGTTTTTGGTTTAAGGTAATTTCAGTAGTTTTAAAAAACTCTTTTTCAATTATTAAAATTAAATAAATCATTATGAAACCTATTTTCCTTTAAAATAGATGTACTGAGCTATATAAGATAATTTTTCCAAAAGATAATATCCTATTCCAGCTTGGAGAACAAACTTAAAAGTCCCCGGGTGTCGCACACCCAGTGTGCGGTTTAAGGATGGATTCGGCAGTGTGCGGTTTGAGGGTTAAACAAAGTTTGTTAAATTCAAAAAATATGTTTTCTTACTTGTGTATATTAAATTAAAACTAGAATAGTTATTATTAAAATTATTTTAAAGAAGTTTTAAAAACTATCATATTATAAAATATATTAAGGTTCTACTTACTATTTAAACAAATCAATGTTTTTAATTACCTTAAAAAAAAAATGAATGTTATTTTAACTAAATTCATTGCTAAAAAATTTCGAAAATTAGGAAAATAATTTTTATTAAATTAAATAATTAACAGTAAATTATTTAAATAATAATCTACAAAAGTTTATAAAAAATATAGCAATTTAAATGACAAAAGGATATACATGTAAAAAAATAATCAAACATTTATAAATTAAAAATATTTATTAAAAGAACTGAAAAGTTACAAAAAACTAAAAATCCAAATTTTAATAATAATTTTTCTAGTTTTAATTTAATATACACTAATAAGAAAACAAATTTTTTGAATTTAACAAACATTGTTTAAATTAATATTTAATTAAAATATAAATTTATTTATAAAACATATTTATTCAAACCAATAATATTTTCAAATCTGAAATGTAGATATTTTTTATATATTTTGGTAATTAACTTATAAACTGACTTTGATTAAGCAAAATCGTTTAGTCTCATTTTTCCACTTGAATTAAGTGTATTTTTTTCCAGTGCTTTTTATAGATTTTAATATTAACTTTATTTTTTTTACAAAAAATTTTGAAATAAAATAAATTTTATTTTTAAAATATTTTTAGCATTGTAAATTGTGAAAATGACGAAAAAACTGCACTATTCAAGGTTAATTCTAAAATATAGAAAAACAATTATTAACAACAATAATTTGTTTATACATTTGTTTTAATAATAATAATATTAATTAATGTCTGACTAATAGTTGAAAAAAATTCAGACCATAACTATAATTTAGGGAAAAAAGAATGTATAAGGGGCTACAAGTAACCACCCACTTTGGGAGACGCCTATTGCGCCCTGGGAAGACGAAGGAGAGAAAGCCACAGACGGGATCGGCGGCGATCGATGGTTCAATGACGAGAAAAACATACGCGGACATTTTTAATCATATCTCGGAGACGGATTAATATTTTTTAATTTTCTTAGGCTCAAATTAAAGGTGACAATTTTTCGAACAAAATGGTATAAGTTCCAAATTTTTCCTATTATTTTTGTAAATCAGGCAACGGACTAAACATATCGAACGATAATTGAAAATTTGGAGAATTTTGTACTTCAAATAATTGAATAATATAACAAGTTTTAAACCTTAAAAAAAATTAACCAAATCTTATCTTATTCAAAATTTTATAAGCTTTCCAAATCTGCAAAATTCAAGTCTCTATCTTCATTTTTGTCAAAGTTATTACGATTTTAGTGGAGCTGTCTTTTTTTCTCCTCCTCGGTCGATCAGACCGACAATTTCCGACGGTAGTGTAAATTTTTAAAACGTATATCCTCGAAAAGAATAATATAAAGTGTGCCCATACCAAATTTTATTGAAAAATAATAAAAATATACAAAATTGTAAATTTGGAAGCAAGTTGAAGATAAAATTTTAATTAAAAATTCATTTAAGAAAAAACAGTTTTTTTAATTTATTTAAAATTATTATTATCAACCTCCAAAGACTAAAATTATACTACATTCAAATGGAATCCCATTGACAAATGAAAATTCTAACGACGTTTATTCGATGTCTAACTTCTTAGACGTATTTCTCAATGGTATACTTTTGTTTTAAGAGGAAAAATTGGATGGATACTAGAAGAGGATGTTTTCTCAAAACAGGAGATTACTTTTTTGGGTTGTATTTAGAGGATTTAGTAAATGCATCAATATGCATTTAAAAAGTGTGTTTTGAAAAAATTTGTTTTTTAAAATTTTATGCCAGACTGGCGGCGATAAATTTTATATTTAATGTCAACTATTTTTTTAAGTTTCTCAAATTAACTCCAAGTTGAACTTAGAAAATAATATTTCCTATATATTTATGAAAATTTTTCTATTTTCAAAAGTTAAATGAAAAAGACGTCTTTAAGATATCTAATGGTCAAGACATAGAACATTTATAGGACGTCTTTAAGAGGTCTTAAAGACGTCTTTTGTACAAGTCCAAAAGACGTCCGCAAAAAGACATCCTTTGGACGTCTTTTGAATAAGTGTGCCCCCTAAGTTAGTTTACATAATGAATACTCACCTTCTTCTGCATTCTCTCCTGAAAAAATATTCAAGTATTATGTCTCAGGTAATTTAACAGCGTGATCGTGAAAGATGATATGTATTATGTTTTACAAGTGGAGTAATGAGAATGATTTAAATATGTGAAATATTTTTAAACAAATTTTATAACATATAAAGAGTAATTAATATTGGGACTTGCTTTTTATGTTAGATCCGGAAGGAACGTCTATAACAAGATAAATTAGATATTATATTGTTTTGTGTTATACTACATTGTTTGTAAAATGTCTATCAAAAATCTATATTTATGTAAAAGAGGTTTAATAATGTTATAGAAAAAATATTATTAATTGTGTATACCGTCATCAATCACATGAATGACATCTGTAAGAGTTTACAAATTAAAACATTGTCATTATTCTGATATGTAACATATATAGACCGTGATAACTAAACTACAATTATACTACTACTGTTTTCTCCTTTAGGATGTAACATTAGTTTACATAAAGAATTCTCACCTTCTGCTGAATTCTCTCCTGCAACAATATTCAAGAATTATGTCCAGGTTTATTTAAAACTGTGACCGGAAAAGAAGATAAATAGTATGTTTTATAAGTGGACCCTCACAACACCCGAATATTCAGAATATCCTGGTGCTATGCTATGAGGGGAATGATGAAAATGATTTAAATATGTGAAATATTTTCAAAAAAAGTTTATAACATGAAGAGTAATAAATATTGGGACTTGCTTTTTATGTTAGACCCAGAAGGAACGTCTGTAACAAGTTAAATTAGATAATATATTGTTTTGTATTGTATTAATAATGTTATAGAAAATAACATTATTAATTGTGTGGATGGGTGACCTCTGTTGGACGTTACAGACTGGTGTTTTTCTCTGCGATAGAAAAATATCAAGCGGGAGGTTTGACGACGTGGCTGTTTTTGTGCAATTGTGATGACTATTCAAATGTATGTACATTCATGACACGATAGTCAATAAATCGGTTGTAGTCGGGAGCAGATTTTCTGCAGTTTTCCTTTTCCGTGGCCGAATGTCCTGGCAAATTTGAGGACTCCTATTTCAAGTCAACTGCAGCCGCAAAATTAGGGACCCCCAAGAGTTCGTGCAAATCAATTTTCAGCCCACACTTTTCAGTCAATTTCAAAGATTATTTTTTTTAAATTATTAAAGGTGGTAAAATCTTAAATCAACACTATGAGAGACATTTTAAGTCGAATATATAATTCCATGGTGTGGCATATTGATAAACCATGACATAATTTATGAACGTAATTATAATTTAAGATTGTTGTACGTATTGTGAGTGCAATAATATTGTTTGCAAAAGATAAAAATGTTTGGAAACTTAACACAAGTATATGTATATATATATTTTTCAAATCAAGTCCGCCAATGTATAATTCTTAAAAATCATTGTGCTGTATTTTTATCTGAGTTTTATAGAACTAAATTCACACTGAAAACAATTCATGAGATATTTTCAACTACACCCTGATGGTTTAATGCCTTCCTTCCGGTTTTGACGGCGTTTTAAAAAGTCGTAACATATCTATCAAAATGTTGTTAGTTAGTGACATATAAGTTCGTTTATAAGTCATGAACTAACAACATTGGACTTCTGTGTTATACGTTGTAGAGGTAAGACGTTCTTGTCTTTTCTTATACTTTAAGTGTGCGAGAATATTTTCTCGCGTTTAGTAATTATTATAATAAATTTGTTTTATAACTTTGATCTTTAAATTAATTTGATCATTGTTGAATTGTTGTATTTTGCCTTGTTTTTGTGCTTAAAGTGTTTTTTTTGTTGTTGTTTGAAATTATACAAATTTCAAACCTACTTCCATCTATACTCTACCGGCTTTTTACATTTTCATATATACATGAAATGAAATCTCAAATCGTTATTTGAGGATCTATTAGAAGGGAAAGGAAGAAGAGAATTAGTGATATTTCTAATGGACTCTACTCATTTTGGAAGGAAAAGAAATTGCTACAATCTATATTAATTTACAAAATTTTATTTTCCAAGGAATGTTTCCAATGATCATTACCATAACCTCCGACTTTGAAGGTCAGATGATGTTTTGATTCTATCTACACGCTTGGATTCATTTGAAGATTTGCTATATCTATCCTTTGCTTATCATATTATTTCACAATTTAATTAATTCCAATATCTTCTTTATAATTTCATTTTCGTCTGATTTATAAATTTGTAATTGAATATTGTTTACATTTGTCTTTATTTTTCTCTTTCTCTTTCCCGAGAATTGTCTTTTTATATTTTTCTCCTTCTTTCTCTTGTTTTTCTTCCTTTTGCTTCCTCATGAGTAAGCTTTGGATTGGTGACGATTTTCAATTTTTCAAAAGAAGGTTATATGGACTCATTTTTATCTAGAACATATGTATATTCAATTATGAGCAAATGTCTAGATGTATGTGTGTATGTATGTGTGTGTCACAAAAATTGTGTACAAATTATCTCAGACAAATTTTGATGGATTGTCCTGAAATTTTGCAGGTTTATTGCAGTCATTAATACGTCGGCTTAGTGGAAAACTGTACTATTTCAGGTATTCGTTATAAACTATACCATTTCAAAAGTTTGTTATAAAACATACCATTTCGATGAAGATCTATAAAAGCGTTGCACTAAAGAATTTCTAATGATTAACAAGCAATTAATTTAAATTATTAGAAATTTTGAATTAATACATTGAAAAGATGAACAAGAGTATATTTAAGATACCGTTTTTTAAAAAAGCATAACCTTATTTTATGTCTAGCAGCAGTGTTGACAAACTTGGAAAAAAATCAAAAAACTTTTTTTCTCGAAATGGTATGTTTTAAAACAATTTACCGAAATGGTACAGTTTATAACGAATACCTGAAATGGTACAGTTTTCCACTAAGCCGACGAATACCTAAAATCTGACACAAGGATTTTCAAAAATTTCTACAAAATTTTTTTTTATACAATTTTTTTAAAATTCAGAAAAATTTTTTTTTGTATTTTTTGAAATAATTTTTTTATTTGTTAATATTTTCATTAATTATTCTCAAAATTACATTTCTGACAAGAAAACGAATCGATTGATATATTGAGGAAGCTAAATGGTCATGAAATGAACAACTTGTTTTATTTGCTACATTAAATTTTGATTTTGGAAGAAAGGTTTCTTATTTATTTTGATCTTTTTCTATTATGTTTTAAAAAAAGCTACCTTTGAGACTGAGTTCTGATATTCTGTGTCTAATGCAATAAGGTATATATATATAAATATTTATTAGTTTTCATTCTTTTCATAGCCTTTTGTTTTTTCACTTACATGTCTTTATTTTATGATTGATGAAAATCGGAACCATTATGGTGGGACTCTGAGTGTGAGAGGGCAATCATTCGAAGAAGAGATACAAGGAAGTCATGGCTTAATAATCAGAGTTTGGAATCTAGGAACAATTTTAAGGATGTGGATAATGAGATCAAATGGTTTCTGAGGAAGAAGAAGAAGGACTCATTTATTGAATTTTGTAGTAATATTTGTAATTTGTCCTTCTCCTTCTGGTCCTGACTTGACTTGGAAAGCAGTTAGATCATTTCAAAGTAGGAATTCTTCTAAGAGAACCAATGTTTCAAATGATCCGGATTCTGACACCTTGCGGGCTCTTCGAAATCATATTATTCACTGGAATGTTGGTCCAGTTGACTGTCCTTTAATTTTGGATCAAGACAATGAGAATCCTGTTACCTTCAATTTACTTTTTTCTGAGAGGGAATTCATGTCAGCGTTATTGACCTGTAAAAAAAATTCTGCTTCTGGACTTGACGGATTTACATATGAAATAATCAGGAATTTACCAGAACGTGCATTGGAATTTATTCATAAGTTATTTAACCTAATGTTTTCTAAATCGACTTTCCCTAAGAGCTGGAGAGATACCAAGGTTCTTTTTATTCCGAAACCAGGGGATAAGGGATTTTACTTTTTGTAAATTATTTGAAAAGCTTATTCAACGTCGCCTTGAGTATCTTGCGGAATCAGGAAATTAGATTCCTTCATCTCAATATGGTTTTCGTAAAAGGAAAATCTGTTCTTGATTGTGTTTCTGCAGTGGTTACAGACATTAATCAGGGCTTTGTCAGGAAGGAGAGTACGCTGGCGTTAGCAATTGACATCAATTGGAGTAGGGTGCTTCTTTGTTTTTGAGTGCATGTCCATCTCATCTTAAACTTTTGGATTGAGTTCAATATTCAGCTCTAAGAGTCGTCCTGGGATGTATGGCTTCCACTCCCATAAGTATTCTCCTATCCGAATGTGATGAGTCTCCTCTATATCTAAGAAGATCAATGCTATGCGATAGATTTTTACTCAGGTGTTATTCTTGGACTGGTAATCCCTTAATTCCTAAATTGCAATTATTACTCGAATCCTCGAAAATCAGAAAATATAATTGCTTTAATTTTGAGAAGTTGTCTTTCCTTGCTCCTTTTATCAGAATACAAATCTTCTGGCTCAGCATTTTATGTTCCTTCACAAAATTTTAGACTTGGAGTTAAACTTAATGGATTGCTATCAATTATTTCCTCCGAATTTTTGGCCATTATATAAGCTTTGAAATATGTTACCTCATCCAATTTTTCTAACATAGTTATTATCAGTGATTCTCGTTCGGCTTTGCAAAATCTTCAGGATATCTTTTGGTCTAGAAATTATCACCCTATGGTTGTTCGTATAATTAAGCAGGTTATTTTCCTTTCACGTATAGGTAAGGATATAAGTTTCCTATGGGTTCCTTCTCATTCGGGAATTCTTGGTAATTCAGAGGCTGATAGCCTGGCTAAATTGTCTTTTTCTCTTGAAATTGGAAGGAACGATGGTGTTCCAATTTGTATTATACTTTGGTGAACAACTGGAGGGTTGAAGCGGAGAATTGTACCAATTCTTCTATTAAAAGAAATTAGAATTAATGGATTGAAGAGAAAGAGAGAAAATTTAATTTGTTTTTGATTTTTTAATTAATCGATAATGGTAAAAAGATGTTTATGCATGTTTGCTTTTCATTTTGATTCTTTTTGTTTTGATTGTTGTTTGATTTTGGTGCGAAAATGAACTTATTGCTTTTCCTATCATTGTAAGTTTTCTCTCTGACTTTTGCCTTTTCCTATTTATCCAGATATAGCATAACCCTACAACATCGATCACACTCTTTAAAAGGACATAAGGAATGAAAAAGAAGAAGGATATCGATGCTTTCTTGATTTCAACAGTTTATTTATATGATCACATTTTACTTTCAAGTATTTCAACTTATATCGTCAATGGCATATTTATATTAAGGGATTAATTTGAAGTTTTCCGCCAAGAACTTTTAGTGTCTCGTGTTTTGGCTACCTGCTATCCAACAAACCATGTAACCAACAAAAAAAACTAACAATGGGTCATTCCAATGAAAACCGTCTAGAGCTGGTTGCTCGATGATTTTAAAAATGATGTGATTAATATATAATATTCTTCAATAAAATTGGATTATATTTTAGTGGTTTATAGCCCCAAATATATTTTACATTCTTTTAAATATTTTTTTAAATGTCTAACTGGTTATGCAGTCTAACATAACCCATTTTGCGAAAACTCAGTATAAATTATTAAAAATAGATTAAAAATACTGATTTTTATTTTGAATAAATATATTTTTGCTAAATTCATTTAAATAAACGAAAATTATTTGAAAATAACTCACCAGAACAGATAAATCAGAATTTTTTTGTACTTGCACAGTATAATAAACATGAATTTCTTTCTCTTATATCTTCTGTGGAGAAAAAGGAATTTTCACGAAACTTTTTTAAATTGATTTATTTTAAAATTATAAATTTATTTAAATTGGAATTTTTTTTAGACCTGTACTCATTAATTATTTAATAAATATGAAAATTTTTATAAATTTAACCTTATTTTGATGAAATTTTTATTTTCATGACTAGACTGAAGTTTGTTTTCTTTAAACGAACGACAAGGTGATGAACTTCAGTCCAGTCATGAAAATAAAAATTCAATGAAAATCAGGTTAAATTTATATAACTTTTCATATTTATTAAATAATTAATGAGTACAGGTCCCAAAAAAATTTTAATTTAAATAAATTTATAATTTTAAAATAAATCAATTTGAAAAAGTTTCGTGAAAATTCCTTTTTCTCCACAGAAGTTATAAGAAAAAGAAATTCATGTTTATTATACTGTGCAAGTATAAAAAAATTCTGATTTATCTGTTCTGGTGAGTTATTTTTAAATAATTTTCGTTTAGTTAAATGAATTTAGCAAAAATATATTTATTTAAAATAAAAATCTGTATTTTTAATCTATTTTTAATGATTTACACTGAGTTTTCGCAAAATGGGTTATGTTAGACTGTATAACCAGTTAGACATTTAAAAAAAATATTTAAAAGAATGTAAAATATATTTGGGGCTATAAACCACTAAAATATAATCCAATTTTATTGAAGAATATTATATATTAATCACATCATTTTTTAAAATCATCGAGCAACCAGCTCTAGACGGTTTTCACTGGAATGACCCAACATTTGGATAGATATGTGACGACTTTTTAAAACACCGTCAAAGCCAGAAGGAAGGCATTAAAGCATCAGGTTGTACATCCCCTTAGTAGAGTAAAAAGAAATAAAAGGAACTACTTTTTCAGTTAGTCTAACTATCTTTGCATACTTATTTTAACTATTTTATATAGTTAAAATTGATTAATTCAATTAAAGTAAATTTGTAGTTAAATTTGTAACTGCAGGTATATTACAGAAATAACTATAGAAAGTAGTAGATTCTACGACTTAAAGTAGTTCGATAGGCTCCAATGACAGTTTAAATGTAGAGTGAAGTGAAATTTTGGAGTAGATTTCACTTCTTCTATCAGTTGAATAATTTTCGATATAATTTTTGTTAAAGAGTTTTAAAAGAGTACCAACTGTAAAAAAGGTATTAATGCAATTATTTTAAGAAGTAATATTAACTACAGTTATCAGTTGAACTGTGGCAGGAATGTCCTCAAGTATTAAGCAAGTCATCGTAGCGGGCGAGCGTGGTTAAATGGTTAAGTTATCGGTTTACGAATGTTAGGGTCGAGCGTTTGATTCCCGGCGTTTAGAGATTTTTCTCTATTAGGTATATAGAAATTAAATATGTAAGGTATATATAAACAAAAGTAAGTAGGGGAAAATATAAAAAAATGGAACTCAATAATATTTATAATAAATAATTTTATTTTACTATTTTAAGCAGTTGTCTTTACTACTGAGTTATCTTAGTAAGTTTAACTACAAATAAGCAGTTAATTTTACTGCCAATCTGTCATTGGTTCCTATTTAACTAAAAAAATTAATTAATGCAATTGTATTACTACTTCATTCAACTACATATCCACTAATTAATTTAAATTTAAAAATATCTTTGGGGACTTATTGAACTAAGAAATGTCTAGTTAAAAAGTAGTAAAATTTACTAAGAATTTTTTTCAGTGCACTAAAAATAATCAAGTGAAATTTTTCCGTACATGTTTTTTAAGTAATTTTAAAGGTTCTTTTGCCTCTGATTTTCTTCTTGGGTATTTTAGGGGACTGATCCGGAACATATTGAATAAAATAAATTATAATTTAGCGGAGTATGGGAGAAAATATAGTTTCATAATTATGTACTTCTTGCTTAAAAAGAAAAAGGCAGTTTGGGTCGAAATATTTTTAAAATACTAGAGGAAGGTACCCTGGCAAGTGCTCATCTCAGAATTTTGCACAATTTTTAAAAATAATCATTGAAAAAATTGTTTAAACATTCGGAAAAAGGAGTTTCAGAAATTACTCCACATCTTCAGGGGATAGAATATTTCGGGTTTATATTAAAAGGAACGTTCACTGAGTAGAAAAAATATTTCCGCGTGTTTGAGCAAAAAAAGAGCCCACTCTTTGATTTCAATTTTTTTTATAAAATAATCCTGAAACTGTACTTTAACATTCTCAAAAAGAAAATCAATGGTAGAAGAAAGTCAAAGTTGAAATTATTCGAGGAATCTCGTGTGAAATTTTTAAAATTAACTTACCCCTATCTGTCACTCCATCCATACTAATTACGACAGTATCCATCCATATTGTTAAAATGAAGAAAATAACGAAGTAGTTGTGCGGAGAATTATATACAATCATTTTTGTAAATGTTTGTATACAATTAAGACAGCAGCGACGTGGTATTCTTATGAAATCGTTGCAATTAATTGTATATTCAATCTCTAAAACATAAATTATGTTTGCTGTATTCCTAATTGTTAAAGTTGGATTTAACAAACACAAACTATTGTACATTATCTAATTAAAATGTCTGGATTCCACATATCACTCCGGAATGTGGAATCCAGAATGTGAAATCTGGAATTTGAAATCCGGAAGGTGAGTTTCGGAATGTTTCAATATCGTATCGACAATATCATAGTGTCGTGAGAAGTTTTAAAAAACGTTGATATTTGATATATTTACTGTAACATACACGTTTCGCTGTTAATAATAAAAAAGTACACTTATTATTTTTTGAAAAATCTCTTACCTCTATCTTCAGAAAAATCGTGTTAATGTTTGTTTATATTTATGTCTTTAAATTCTAATAAAAAAATGGAATGTAACGAAAATAAAAAAACAAAATTAAACAAGGAAAAATGCAGAAGTTGTTGGAAGATACAGTATTCCTGAGTCCACAATAAGTGCAAAAAAAATAGGTTTGTAAACCAATAAGAAGCGGATAAAGGAGTGTATAAACAGCGTATTTTAACAACGATATATATAGGCAATTCCACGTAAGATTTCAGTTCACATTTTAAATTTGGCCAAAACAATTTTTTTTCATTCTTTAGTAAAACCTTTTACATTGAATTTGGCTCTCAGCAGATTTTTTTGTAACTTAGCAGATTTGTAGTTTGAGATGTTCTGAACAAAAAATGTATATGGTAAAACTAAAAAAAATGACCAGTTTTTGAACTACCATACATCAAAAGTTCAAAAATGATGAAAAAATGTGTTATGATTTTTTTGTTATTTTGTGCGTAAAAATAAAATAAATTCTTTTAAAAATTGATCCTCAAATGGTTTTTCGAATTTTTGTATCATAATCTAAAAATACATACTGAATAAAAGTAAGACCATAATCAATATGGTAATTATGGTAGCAGATAAACAACAAAGAACTATTACACGGCAAAAAAAAATGATGTCCATAAACTCTACAAAATATTTTATTAGACTTGGAGTTAAAATAGGACACACAGAGTATATTTAAGCCATTTATGGTTGATACCATAAAACATGAAACCACCATTACATTATAAAGGAAAATGGTTCTTATTTTTAGTGAACACACGAATATAACAAGCATTATACTTGAATTTAAATACATTTCTATTTGATCCAAAGTTTTTATGATAGCAAAAAAAATACCATAAAACAACCATTAATTACGAAAGAAAAACCATTCTTATTCATAATGAACCTAACAACTTAACAAGCTTTATAATTGAATTAAATACATGTGGAGTGTATCCACAGTTTGGATGGTTGCAAAAAATACCATAAAACCACCATTAATTAAAAAGGCAAACTATTACTATTTTCAGTGAACCTAAGTACTTAACGCGCCTTACAATTAAACTAAATACATGTGGAATGTATACACAGATTGTATGGTTGCAAGAAAAATCCATAAAACAACTATTAACTGCATAAGGCAAACCATTTGTATTCTTTGTGAACCTAAGACCTTAACAAGCTATATAATTGAAATAAATACATTTCTATTTGATCCACAGTTTATATGGCTGCAAGAAAAATCCATAAAACAACTATTAACTGCATAAAGCAAACCATTTGTATTCTTTGTGAACCTAAGACCTTAACAAGCTTTATAATTGAAATAAATACAATTCTAATTGATTCATAGATTGTATGATTGAAAAAAAATCCATAAGCAACTAATAACTGCACAAGGCAAACCATTTGTCTTCTTTGTGAACCTGAGAGCTTAACAAGCTTTATAATTGAAATAAATACATTTCTCGTTGATCCATAGATTGTATGATTGAAAAATAATCCATAAGCAACTAATAACTGCATAAGGCAAACCATTTGTCTTCTTTGTGAACCTAAGACCTTAACAAGCTTTATAATTGAAATAAATACAATTCTAATTCATCCACAGTTCGTATGGTTGCAAGATAAATCCATAAAACAACTATTAACTGCATAAGGCAAACCATTTGTATTCTTTGTGAACCTAAGACCTTAACAAGCTATATTAATACATATCTAGTTGATTCACAGTTTGTATGGTTGCAAAAAAAATCCATAAGACAACTATTAACTGCATAAGGCAAACTATTTGTATTCATTGTGAACCTAAGACCTTAACAAGCTATATAAATACATTTCTATTCGATCCACAGTTTGTATGGTTGCAAAAAAAAATCCATAAGACAACTATTAACTGCATAAGGCAAACTTTTTTTATTCTTTGTAAACCTAAGAGCTTAACAAGATATATAAATACATTTCTAGTTGATTCACAGTTTGTATGGTTGCAAAAAAAAACCATAAGACAAGTATTAACTGCATAAGGCAAACTATTTTTATTCTTTGTAAACCGAAGACCTTAACAAGCTATATAAATACATTTCTAGTTGATCCTCAGTTTGTATGGTTGTAAAAAAATTTCATAACACAACTATTAGCTGCATAAGGCAACCCATTTGTATTCTTTGTGAACCTGGGACTTGAACAAGCTTTATAATTGAAATAAATACTTTTGTAGTTGATCCACAGGTTTTATGGCTGCAAGAAATATCCATAAAACAACTATTAACTGCATAAGGCACACTATTTTTGTGTTGTGAACCTAAGACCTTATCGAATTTTATATCATAAAACATTCTTTTCATTTTAAAAACGATTCATTTTTAATCTAACTGATATTATTGCTTGTGAGATTTTTTTGCAATTTTTTTGCAATGCAGTAATGTCAATATTATACTATCTCCTTTTTTACTCTTCCTCTCCCTCAATTTCCTGTTGTCCAGGAAGTCTTCTATTTCCTGCATCTAATATAGCGTTTAATAATGATTCAGTCGGGTATTTAACATTTTCTTGGTGTCTGGCGAATCCAAGAAACCACATGATACTTGCGACATGACTGCAAGATCCAACTGTTCTTGCACCAGTTTGACATGTGCAGTAGTAGCCGGTGATTGGTTGTTTAACAGGTTCGTCGTCAAGCTCTTGAACTTCATACTCAACGAATACATGGTGTTTTGTGCAATTTCTGAATCTTGAGTACATTCGAATTCTTATGAAACCGTGATTGTTAAAATGGTGATCTAATTGAAATTCATATTCGTTGTCTCTTTGAACTTTATCTTGAATATATGCTGGTGCCAAACTGACTTGATAGCTACCAATCATTAGATGTTTAATAAATTCCATACTCAGAACTGGGAAATCTACTACATCTCTCTGATGGAGTTTCCGCTACTGTCCGTTTCTAATACGTAGGCTATCGACTTCCACTCTATTCTGCACCGCATTTGGGACTTGTGATCTTTGCAGAATTTCTCTTGCAAGATCAGCGTTTGCGTTTTCCATTTGGATGGTCGGATGGTAACTGTTTATAATAGCACCAGCAATTAAATAGAAGCTATTTAAGTTTCTCAGGTGATGGAAATCTATTCGTTTCGAAAGGAATTTAAAAATTGACTGGATATGTCCGTTTCTCGCTTCAACGATCCATCTGTTTTTGGTTAAAATGCGACTTTGATTTGCATCTTCGGTTGTCAGTTGTCTTTCTCCTCGTCTAAGGAACGATGGCATCTTAACATTTATACCCAAACGTTCCAAAAGTGGGACTGCATCTCGATATCCTCGATCAACTAAAACAATGTCACCATCTTCAAACCAGTCTCTTAAAGAATCAAAATCTTTTTCTAAATCTGATTCTAAAATTCGTGCATCATTGTTTTTGGAATCTGTAAAATGTGGTCCTAAAATGGTTAAAATATAACCGTCAAGACCAACAACCATTGTTGGTTTTACGAGATGTCGACTTTTGTGCATAGAAAAAGATTCTCGAAGCACACGAAAGTTTGAACTTTTTTGTATATAAGCATATGTCGCGTCAATAGCGACAATAGCTTTACGTGCTTCTGGTTGAGGATTATATAAATGTTGAGGAAATTCCGGAACATGTGCTTCAATAAAGTCTTCTCTATTTATGGATCCAAGTCCTATGTTTCGAGGAACGAAACCTTGCATTAAAGACATTCTTACACATTCTACAACTAAACTTACAGATTGCCTACTTTTATAATCAAATACGATTTTTAAAAAATCATCTGTCAAACCTTGTCTTATCTTACAAAAAAATGTCAATAATTTTTTTTTTATATTTGTCTCTGGTGACCATATTTCATAACTGGATCGCACTGATTATAGAGGTTGTTAAATTGTTCTTTTGTAATTGGTGCGATACATTCAAATTCTTCATCAGAAAAATTATTTTCGCTTGAAAATCTATCTTTTTTCATATCAGCAGCCACTCTTAATCCTTGTAAGAAGGTTTCTAGTACGCGACCTTTCAAAATGTAAGGTCTATTTATATATCTCAACGCTGCTAATAATTCGTTTAAGAAAAAACCATTCTCATCCAAATGATGTGCACAAGATCTTACATTATCAGGCATATAAATGTTTTTAATTACAAAAACATTTACCCTGCAATCAACTGAGAGTCTTTGTATGTTATTTTCAGCATTGCAAATAATGCAAGAACTACTTCTAGTCTGATTGACTACATTTAATCTCATACAGCTTGGATCCTGATGAATTAGTTCTATTTCGTTTGAAATAGACATATAACAATTAAAACAGAGTTTTGTATTGTCATTAATAGGAAGTGGCGGAAAATTAAGGTTATCACGTCTCGTTAAAGCTATCTGACGCCTTATAATATTTTCTTCGCCGTTCATTAACCTCATCTGTTGTCCCTGGAACTGTCTGTTACATGCGTAACATGAAAAGCGTTGTCTAAACGCCATTTTTACAATTTATAAATTAGTAAAAAATAAGATAAATTAATTTATGTTGAAAATGTTTTAATAGAAAGACAAATTAAAAAAAATAGCTGACAAACAAAAAAAGTACAAATACTATTATACGAAAACAATAAAAACGCCTTAAATAGTACGTTACTATAAGTAAA